CCACCAACTTTTAGGCTAGGTCTTCCTTCTCCAGCTAACCCTCTCGTTCTCAGAGGTCAGGGTTCTGGGGATCCAGCTGAGACGGTGTTTCTTTTAGCGTTCCACTAGAACTAGTCAGTAAAACGCTATTGAGGATGGCACTACGAAATTTGTGTATATGTGTTTCTCATAATACACTGTATACAAGTACGCTGTGAAAAATAAAAACTTTAAAACATTCTCAGTGGTATTCATCATCAGAAAAATGCAAATGAAACCATAATGGACACCATTACCTGCCTTCTCAAACAGCCACAGTTATGAAGAAACAGGATGCTCTGCCAAAAAATGTAGACAAACTGTCTGCGATAGCTGATAAGAATGCAGACTGGTACAATTTCTTTGGAAACCTAGTGTGGCACAAATTATTTAAGTTAACATCACATTTAACCTATAGCCTAAAACTGTTTCCCTAATATGTAGATGACAGAAATACACAAACATGTACAAGTGGCATTTGCAAGAATGCTCAAAAGAGTACAATGGCAAAAAAACTCAAACTAGAAAAATATCATCAAAAACAGAATGAATATGTAACTTGAGTGAAAGTCATAAAATGGATAATTCTACAGCTATAAGCAACAACATGAATCCTTTTAAAAGAATTTTAAGATTTTTATTTACTTTTATGCTATGCGTATGTTTGCTTGCCTGTATGTACATGTACCGCATGCATGCCCAGTGCCCATGGCAGCTAGAAAAGAATGCCAAAATCCCCTAGAACTAGAGACACAGGCAGCTATGGGTTGCTGGCTACTGCTGGGAACTAAAGCTGGATCCTCCAAAAGAGCAGCAAGAGCCACTCTCAAGATCTAACATGGACCACCTCTCTAAGTATAGTGTTAAATGAAAGAAGGCATTTTAGATGGAAGCTGCTAATTGGGCATCTGGTGTTATTCAGCTCCTGGGCCTTGCATGGTGTTCGTCAGCACATTCAGTTTGTGATGATTTGGAGATTTTCTTCTCTTTGTGGTTTATACTTCAGGTTACAATTGCTTTTCAGGGCTGGGGTTAAACACAGGCCTTATAAAACTAATCAAGTGCTCTGATTACTTTTTAATTACTTTTTTAAAAAGCATAATGTTTGTTAAAAATGGTTAAATAGCATAATTTTGTAGAAAAATTGGTGGGGTGGGTCCAAAGGATTTTAGATATAGATAAAATTAATATTTAAGCTGATAGTGTATTGTGAAAAATTTCTAGGACTCTCTAAATACCCACACAAGATGACAGGTTAAGTAAAAACACCCTAGGAACCACATAAGGCCCAGATGTATATTGCACCCCCATCCCAGGACTTTCTTTTCTGCATTCCCATCCCACCCTCAACCTGATACAAAGAGCATTATCTCACAGAGTTTCTCCTGTAACTGCCACCAAATCAAGTTTACTTTAAAAGTAGTCATATTTATACAGACCTGCTTCTGACTACACCTGATTTTCAGGAATGAGCATTTCCCTCCCATTCAGAAGGTAGTTTTCAATGTAGAAACATAAATCAGCAAGCATACATTTCAATTGGGCTGTTAATCTGTAGCTCACACCTCCAAATTATCTGCTTCTTTTCCTTAATGTAAGAGGCATACAAGGAAACTATTAAAACACGGAATGAGAGCAACCAGAATTCTGGTTCCACTTCTATTGATCTGAAAGAACAACCAGTCCAAGCCTGTCTCTTTTCTGCTATACTTGGATAATATGTCTAATCCACAGGATTGTTGGCATTAAAAGAGTCAGCACATGTCGAAATCTCAGTGTAGTATCTGTATGAATGATGGGAGATGACGTTCTGTAAATGATTCTCATACTGGTTAATGAATAAAGCACTGTTGGCCAATAGGAAAGGAAGAGAGGAGGGACTAGGAGACAAGGGGGAAATAGGAAGTAGTAAGGAAGAGCCAAGATGGAGAGTCGGGAGAAAGCAGTATGCCGGCTGGCTCCCCGGTAAGAGAAATACATAGATCAGCAGAAATGGGTTAATAATTAAGGCAGAGCTAGCCGATAAGAAACAAGTACCTGGCCAACAGAATTATATCAAATACAGAGTCTCTGTGTGTTAACTGGGGCTGGCACGTGGTGGGACAAGACCGGGCGGCGGGTGGAAAAACCGTACTTCGTACATATGAAGAATTCACTAACTTCACAGCATCTGTATTGTATATCCTACTTGGTGTTCTAGTTTCATTGCAGTTGCTGTGATAAAAGACCCTGGCAAAAAGCAGCTGGGGAGGGGGCATTATTTTAGCTTAAAAGTCAAAGCTAAGATCCATCACTGTGGGGAAGGAAGTCAAGGCAGGAACTTCTATTGGCTACTTACACCACTTCCACAATCAAGAGATGTCAGAAGCAAATGTGTGTAAGTTCACTTGCTTGCTTGTATCAGCCCAACTATTACACTCTTGCACAGGGCAGAACCTCCTGCCTAGGGAATAAGTTGCCCATAATAGGTTTTGTCTTTCACATCACTTAATTTAAGACAATCCCACACAGCTATGTCCACAGGTCAACCCAATGTAGACAATTCCTGACTGAGACTCTTTTCCCCAGTTTATGTGAGTCAAGTTGACAAAGCTGGAAAATACTTAGGACTTAAAGTGGGCTAGAACGTGTGATTTGGTGTGTGTGTGTGTGTGTGTGTGTGTGTGTTGTAGTGCTTGAAAGCAGGAGTAGAGGGGTGCTACTAGTTTACGGCTTTTTATTATTTACTAGAAAACCCAGAAACTCCTAGTCCAATAGATTTCAACATGATTAATAGCGACAATGGTGTTATAATGTAGACAAGTAAAAGGAAATACCTATGTGATTATGTTACTCCACAGATCTATGGAGGATACACTGGAGTTTGTTTAGCCTGGGAAGGACAAGGACTGCACTGCCTGCAATTAACAGATATGGTGGGAAGTTGGAATGTAAAGATACTAAGGTCCAGCACCATGAAAATACAGGAAGATGCTAAAGAGGTGCCCTAAGGTAAAAAGAAGATATGAAATTCTTCTCAGTTCATGGGAAATATCACTGAGTCCTAGGGCTACACCCAGCCTTCCTGAAGATGCAATGAGAAATCCCTTGCTGAGGAAAGGTCATTTCTTACAAGTGAACCTTGAATTAGCCACCCACAAGAACTCCTAGCAAAGGACCGCCAGAGAGGGCAGGATCTGGCAGTCTCCCAAGATATAGCAATGTTCAAGTTAAGGAAGTGCCAGGTGTATGTCCGCTTGAGCTAGCCCCCCCCCCTTTTTATGTGAGTAATAAAATATTTACTATAACATAAATATGAAGGGAACTTCCCAGTCTACATTATTTTTTTTGCAATAAAGATACAAAGAGAATGCACCTAACATTGTTCCATAAATAATAAAAATAAAATAACAAAATTTAAGCTTAAACCTTAACACACAGATGAAGAAACGGTGAAGGGGGAAGCTCCAAATACATCCAGAAAATAAATATTTATGGGTCAGAAATCAGGAAGCCATATTAAAATATCTTTTTTTCGGTTTAGAAGGGCATACAAAACCCTTTAGGATGGGAAGGGACAACAACCCAGAAAACCAAATGAAAACCAGAGCTAGCCCCTTTTAAGCTATGGATGAGTCATATTTAAACAGAGAATTTTACAAGTCCTAACACTGTTATAGACGTGATGTATTACTAGCTTAGAGTCCTTACAGTTTTCGGGAATTGCATATGAATTAGTAAGAGCCCAGTTTAGAAGGAAAGACGAGAAATGCAATGACTTTCTGAACAGGCAGCTATCAGAGAACTAACCACTGAAAAGGAACACTAAAATGGAAACTTAGTGGCTACTGATTACACTGCAACTTCCACTCTTAGTGCTATCGAAACAAAGGGACCTAAGGTCCGCATACACGGTAAAGGAACTTCACAAAAACACTAGAACCCATGAAAATTGAGTCTAGCCAATGAGGCAGATTCTTCGAGTACACCAAGGAGCTGGAAACTAGGACCAAAGACGGCTGAAACTGTTTCTGCCAGGGTAAAGACCAGAAGAGAATTACTAAGAAAACAGCAAATAAACCGTGGAAAAAGTCCTGTCCTTTCTCCTTTAGCGCCCCCTACTTGTGGAAACTAGAGGCGCACCCGACACAACTGGCAGGCTTTAACCCTCAGAAGCCAACCTGGAGTTGTCTCTTTGAAACAGATCAAAACAAGAATTTAAGACACTCCAAAACTGCTGCATTTCCAACTACCAAAAAGAGGTTGGTTGGTTTGTTTTGTTTCAGTTATAGACTCCTTTCTGCCTAAGGGTAGTTGATGCAATTTTAGAGTCATTTCTCTTTATTTGTGCATTTGCAACAGGAATCTAAGGAAGAGACAGAACATGCCTGAAGCACATGGTTAATTTGTTTTCGCGTTGTGCTTAATATTTACAGCTACCTAGAAAGGACGGTTGGTGAGATCTGCTTGCAGATTTTTCTCACATTGTTCCCTTACTTTCTCTCTTAGTTAGGGGACCACCTCTCACAGATTTGGGAGACTTCAAGCCATTCGTTGGGTTTTGAGGTTGCATCTGTTCCTCTGTAAAAATGCAAAGACTCCTGATTTCAAATGGCGGGGCGGAAGGAAATACTGAACAAGGTAAGGCAGCATGCCCAACAGTACGTTGAGAAATATCTATTTCACTCTTCCAGCATCTTCTGGGATGACATCTGACATTTATCAAAGTGAGGGGTAAGACTTTGCTGGGCCGGGATGAGCCTTTACTTGCGCCAGTCTCCATCAATCATTGAAGTCTGTGGATTCGGAACTGAAACCCAGATAGCTAGCTGTCCTTGCTCTCCGGGACACCTTGAGGGGAAGCCGTGTGTGAGCGGCAGGCTCTTGGCTCCATCGTACTCGATCCCGGGATCCCTGGAGAGGTTGCACCACTTTCCATGAGATGTGACCAGAGCTAATTGTCCATGAGCGCTCCCGGGACCCCGGCGCCCGGCCGCCCGGCGCTGCTGCCCGCGCTGATTCTGCTGCTGGCCTCTTCCGGACTGGCAGGTAGGAGGGTCGTGCTGCCGGGGCGGGGACGACGGCTACGTGGTGGAAGCTTGAAGGGACCCTAGCCTGGAGATTAGCTCTGCCACCCGTGCTCCAGGATCCGAGCTGAGGCTGGGGGGGTAGAAGGGTAGCACTAGCATTCCTGAGTGGTCCATGAAGCCTGTGACCGTGATGTCAATGGAGGGGCGGCTCGCACTAACGCTGAGCTAGGTCCAAGACTCCCAGACTAAGCTGCCCCTGGAGGGTCAGGTCAGACCTCGGAAAAGCCAAAGATGGGTTGCAAAGGGGAAAGCCATATTCTGCTCTTCTGGGCACATTCTTCCCTCCGCAGCCGTGACATGTACGGATAAGTGCTCTGATTTTTTAAAAGTAACAAAACCTAGTTGTGGCATAAAGCACTAGAGGGATTTTCTTTGTTGTTTTAAAATTTAAAGTGTACCGCTGTGATTCAGAAAGACTGTGATTCGCTGAAGAAAGTTTCTTTTTCTGTTTTATATGTCTCCATATAAAAATATATTTTTAAAAAAATCAAGATATCTCAAACGCCTCCCCTTAAGTTTTTAGTTAAAGACATCAGCCATACTTCTCAAAGTATCGACTGGAGTTTATATAAAATTGACTCAGGCACCTGTGGCTTTCGGTTTAGCCTGAAACTGAACAGGGACAGGAAGGATGTCCATGAGACTCAGAGAAAACACGAAGCTCAGCGTGCTTTCAGAGGCAAGAACCATGCACACTGGCCTCAGAGCGACTGCTGAGGCGGATGTTCTATACAAAAAGCTTCTTTGCTAACTTCTAAATTTATGAAAATATATGATTGTATTTTAATAATCCCAGATAAGCCAGAGACTTATCCAAACATCACTGATATAAATGTGGTTTTGGTTTAAGGCAAAATTGAAGTTTATTACAAAAGGTTTTAGCAGAGATTTAAGTACAGGCATCAAGGAAAATGAAAGACATATGTATATATACACACATGTGTATATATAAACATTTTGAATATGCCTATAGATGGGTTACATAAATATATGTATATGTATGTGGGTGATGGGTAAGATCTCCACATTTGGTGCACACAATAGAGTCAGCATACTGAATTTGCTTGGTTTTAATCAGAGAAATAAAAGTTACTCACTAACTGGACAAAAATAATGACATTCAAAAACAATAGTATTTCTAACTTCAAAGCAAAATTTGCAAGCAAACACACACACATAGAAACGTGCCTTTTGATTCATGGGATCAAACTGAGTCCTATAAAGAATCCTCTACCTTCATTGCTGTGTATCATTTCTGTATCTCCATGAGGATGAGGAGCATCTTATATAAAACAAAGTTTATATTACACGACCAACATTATATAAACATATCCTAAATCTATAAGAGACTGAAAAACAACGATTTTCAAAGACAACATGTCTCTGTTTAAGATCCCTCAAAGGCTTCCATTGTTCTGTGTGACCTGCTCCCTGTCTCTCTCCAGCCTCACTTTAATTACTACCCCTCTGGTCTTTTTTCCAGTTCCCAAAGCAAGCCAAATGCCCAGGGTCCATTCTTGCAGTTCCCTCAGCTAGAATTCCCCTCCCCCATCTGCACTGGTTAGCCCCACACAGTCTGCCTCACACAGGGAGGCCATCCCATAATTTCCAATGTGGAAACAGACTCCACAGGACTTCCTGGCCATCCTACCCAAGTGCTACTTCTTTGAATCACCCCCCCCCAGGCAACATTGGCCCAGGGTTATTAATTCCCTGTATTATTTCCCTGTCCCCTGCTTGAGCATCTCTCACCACGGGAAACTCGCTACTAGCACCCAGATAGGCAAAATTCCCTGTCAAAGTCCTTCTATAAGCTAGCACAATACTTGCTCCTTGCTGTTTTCATCCATTATTTGTATTTATTCTGAGCTGATAAAGTCTCACAGGATAAGGCATATGTGTACTGACTGAGGCTGTAGTCATCATGTTCAGCCTCTTCTTTACTCTCAACTCACAGCCTCTTATGTGCCATGTCCCCTCTCTGTATTATTTTTCATGATGTCTTCCAGCGCATTTGTGACTTTTGGGCTGACTCGCTACAGAGCTTGATGGAATGGCTACCTTATGAAATGTGGGGCCTAGACAGATTGTCCTCACATTGCCATCATTTCTAAGGCCTACCAGGGCCTCTTCTCATCTCTTTTGTCTTCTATGAGACAAACTCTGACCACACTCGAAATTTCATACCAGCACAATTTCACTTGTCTGGCAGAGGTGGCTTCCTGCTTGTCTCTTGAAGTATAGACAAAGTATGGTTTAATGTTTGATCTAGAATCCCTGATGTCTTTGATGGCGGGATGTTAGTACAACTAAGATACTCGTCAAGAAAGAAAAACTTGATTGATTTTAAACATCATCTATTCAGAATTCTTCCTGCTCTCTGAGGGCGGTAATCACATTCCATCTTGAGCCACCAAGGTGGCGACTTTCGTCACCCTGCCCACCACCTAATGTGATGCCAATGCTGCTTGCACCACAGAGCATGGGAATAAATACTCTATCTTGTCCACACTTGTCCCAGTCACACTTCATTTCCTCGTGGGTACATTCCAGCTTCCTCTTGATGGGAGTCAGAGTCTCATTCCATGCAGCTAAAGAATAAAAATGCTCTGTTGACAATGGATATGTTCAGCCCGTTTGTGTGTATCTTCCCACCATTTAAGTTTCCCCTTTCCCTACTCCGTAATTCTTCCTACATCAGGCTCTGCCTTCTTACTTTCAGGTGACCTAGTAGTTCTTGCAGAATTCTCTTAAATAAACCAGATGTTCTTCCTGGGGAAATAGAAAAGCACATTAATATTTTTAAGGCTGTCATAACACTGTCACAAGCTGGGTGACTTAAAACCACATAACTTTATGGCTCACAGTGGTGGAAACTGGAAGTTCAGGTGCTAGCTACTGGCAGAGTTACTATTCCTAAGCACAGGGGTGGGGTGGTCTGTTGCATGGCTCTTCCTCTGCTTTCGGCTGCTAACAGTATCTGGTGTTCCTAGATTTGAAGACACACTGCCACCTCTCAGTGTTCCTTCACATGGCCTTCTTGAAGACTGTGTGTGTCTTCCTCTTTGTTCAAGTTTTCCCTATTTATATCAGTATTTCAACCTGCCCAAGTGACTATAAAGGCCATGTTTCCAAATAAGGGCAGGCTGTGCAATACTGGTGTGTGTGTGTGTGTGTGTGTGTGTGTGTGTGTGTGTGTGTGTGTGTTAGAATTTCAGTTATTTCTCTTGGGTAATACAATTCAAGTCACAGCACCTACCATCCACTCCAAGGTGACAGAATCCGTAGGTTTGGCTTCTCCAGTGAGGAAAACAAGGTACTTTTCAGCAGCATACACAGTGTCAGTGTCGCTTACTCCTTAGCACCATTAGTGGTCTGTGCCACCACTGAAAGGAAGCTGTGTTCAAGTGTCAGACTCGGAAGGTGGCACTGAGCAGTGGATACGGGGGCTTCTCTTGTGCTTTGTGTATCACAAGCTCAGAAGGACAGCCACCTCGGGCTCTCAGCAAAGACTGGTGGTATCCAACTTCCCGCATGAGGGAAGCTCTCTCCTCACACCTCTGACCCCCATCTCTGCAGTTAACTGCTCCAAATATGTGTGAGGCAGCCCAGCTCTCTCCCTATTTTATATTAAAATGTATGTGTTTCAGGGTGTCTGCTAATTTACTTCCTAAGTGCTCAATGTGTTTTTTTAAATAGTTGATAGACTTTAAATGTCAAATAGAATTGCATGTGCAAAGAAATGAGGAATTTGAGCTGGTCAGATTATACAAAATGAGATTAGTGCAATGTCTTAAGCATCCATTTGAGTTCCCCCCAAACTGAAATACATCTTCACTCAATGTGATTTTTAAATAATCTCATTTTCCCACCCATTCACTCAGTCAGTGACATTCATTCATACATGTAGGAACTGAAATACTTTCCTATATATTACATCAGACATTTACAATTCAATTTGCATCTAATCTTTTTTAATTTAAGGATTTGCAAAAGGATTCACCCACAATAGGTGAATCTTATCTCTAGACTCCTAACTGAACAAGAAAAAGACCTTCTCTTTATGTAGTCTCCACAGAAAGACAGACAAATTAAGGCGCAAACTCCAGAACTGAAGGGAGGATTCTCGTAGGCAGGCATACAGAACAAGACATCTGATCTAGTCCCAGGGCAAGGTTGGCCTCCTGCAGGAAAAGCCCTAATATAACATGGGGATGTGGCAGCTTGAATCTGAAGTGTTCTGCTTATGCCTTGAATGCTCTCCCCTGCTTGTAGGCCTGTCTAGAGGCCTTACAGCTTTTTGATGCGGTGAGGCTAGCAGAAGTAGATCAGTAGGGGTGGGCCTCATTACTAACCCTGGTTCTGGCCTGCAGTTCCCACATCCTGGTCCATACCAGGTAGGCAGCTGTTTTCTCAAGTTTCTGCCTCTACAGTAGAGCTTCACCCCCTCCCCTGAACTCCAACTGTCCTCATTACCCTAAACAGAAAGCTCTCTGAAATCTTGATCTAAAATGCCTTTCTCTCCTAAGTTCTTCTGTCAGGCGTTTGTGTCACCATGGTGCAAATGTAACTAAAAGAACTAACATCACATTCTCCCTACCTCAGAAGGGAAGATGCAACAAAGGCAAAATGCATCTCAATGGAAAAAGAAACATTAAAAGCTTTTGGGAAAATGCATATGAATTCAGCAAATAACCGAAAGTTTCCTATATATTACATTAGATATTTATAATGCATTATTATACACCTACTCTTTCTTAATTTAAATGTTTGCAAAAGGGATGGGGTGGGGCTAAATTCCACACTAAGTGAATCTTATCTCTAAATTACCAGGTACTAACATTCCTTTTCTCATACATTTCTTACTTACAAGACACATCTGAACAGCAACAACAAAAACAACGTAGAGAGGGCGCTCTTTCTGAAACTGGTGGTTACAGAGTGGGCAGGAGTCAGGAG